ACGTACCCAAGGCACAGCATGGAGAGCCCCGGAATGACTGAACGTGCCCGAGCGGGTTAACAGATGGGGGCCCCCGACAAGAGCGCAGGTCCCTCCATTCAAACAAGAAATACTCACGACACAATGCGGAGGACCCCTGAACGATCAAGTGTGCCGGAGCAGGTTAACATAAAGGGCCCCGTCAAGAGCATAGAGGCCTCCATTCAAGTGGGAAGCACCCAAGACTCAATGTAAATGGCCCCTGAACGATTAAGCGTGCCCGAGCTGGTTGACAGATGCGGTCCGGTCAAAAGCGTAGGGCCCTCAAAAGCCAATAGGAAGTACCCAAGACTGAGTGTGATGGGCCCCTCGAACGATCAAGTGTGCCCGAGCAGCTTAATAGCTGGGGCCCCTGATAAGGGCGTATGGCCCTACAAAGAAATTGGAAGTATCCAAAACCCAATGTGTAGGGACCCGAAAGATCGAGCGTGCCCAAGGTGAGGTAAACAGATGACGCAGTTCCCCCCGAAAAAAAAACACGAGGCCCTCCATTGACATAAAAAGTGACGAAGATCCAATGTGGAGGACCCCCCAAACATTCGAGTGTGACCGGGCAGGTCAACAGATGGAGCCCGACAAGAGCGTAGAGCCCTCCGCATGTGGCAGGGATCTGAAAAGGTCCCAGACCAATGTAGAGGGCCCATGAGCATATTGCGAATGTGCCGGTAGGTTAACCGAAACCAACGTGAAGGACCCCTGAGCGACCTAGATTATCCCGGCAGTTCAACATATGAGGCCCTGGATGTAGCGTGTGGACCCTACCGGACAAATGGGCAGAATCCGTGGGAAGCTCCTGACAAAAGCGTCCCGGCCTGTCGGCAGAAAAGGCCCCAACAACAGCGTGGTACCCTCAAGGCAAATGTAACAAACTCAGGGGCAACATGAAAGGCTGCTCACCCATTGGATTTACGTTGCAAGTGCACATATATGGCACCCAGGAACAGCGTAGGACTTCTGAATAGCTGAATAGCGCAATGAGCCTTGAAATTTCTGTCACCACCTTTCCAATCAGAGAAAAATCATTTTTGCATGGTCATGAGCCTTTCACTTTCGCTTGCCTACTCGGCCGGCTATGGGTCCTTTCGAGGTCATAGGGGGAGGGGGGGGGGGGCAATAGCCCAATGGCCTCTCTCTGGATCAGGTCATGGTGACCTGAAAGCTTATGTGCTGAGAACAGTCTTGATCAGCCGTCTCATCTGAAACAAGTATTTGTCTTTTCTTGTACAGCGTGCAGCAAAGCAAGAGGCCCGGGGATCTGGGACCACTTCTCAGTCCCAGATTTTTCGTTTTTCACCATAGTGAGTTCCAGACAGAAAGCTATAAATCACCGTTATACGTATTTATCGGGTTCCGGGCCGATACCTTGAAAAAATTCTGTCTACGTCTAGGCTTTCTTGGACATGACAAAGGCATACGGATTAATGCATTTGGACATATTGCGTAAACGAATTAAAGCAAATTAATCAACTGTGTATAAGAAATTGCGCACCTACGTATACATTGTGTGATACGAAACACACACACACCACACACACACACACACACACACACCACACACACACACACACACACCACACACACACACACACACACACACACACACACACACACACACACACACACACACACACACACACACACACCACACACACACACACACCACACACACACACACACACACATATATATATATATATATATATATATATATATATATATATATATATATATATATATATATACATGCATGCTCTTAATTTATGGCCCATCCCTAATATGACTACCACGGATCCCTATTATTGATAACCGCATTTAAAACAGCCAGGTTTATGAATAAAAGCTGTTTATAGTTTTTGATCACGTCATTAAACGTTTAGGGTGATGTGGCCTGGTTATTGCGGTCGTCAAGACGGTTTCATGGGAGTGCAGGACAATACCGGATCTCTCGCTGAGTATGCGCTGCCGCAGCCCCAAGTGTTCCGAGTCCGAGGCACCAGTAGCACGTCTTGAGGTCGCTGACCTTGTGTTCCGCGTCTGAGGCACGAGTGGCACGTCTTGAGGCCGCTGATCCTGCCCCAATCATGTGCACTGCCCGTTGCCCTTGCTCGTCGTTTGTGACCTTCTACACCTTTGTTAAGTTACGCTTCATCCTGCAGTTATGCGCTAAGCTCAGTTCCATCACAGAGTGTGGAGTCAGGAGTCCCGAACCGATTCGTCCGAGCCACCGTGTTCCATCTAAAGAAAAAGTTGGTTCCTTGATTACAAAATGCCGCTTATAGCTGAACTACGTTTTGTGTGGCCTTCCCAGACTGAAGACAGTGCGAATATAGCTGAACTACGTTTTGTTTGGCCTCCCCAGACTGAAACGCGGTACGAAATGTGAGGCAAGGCCGCAAGTTTCGACCAGCGGTTTCAGAATCTCCTCGGTAAAATGGCACCGAAAAACGGCAAAGGAGATAGAGAGTATGGGGTATCACCCCTCCCCCCCCCCCCCCCCCCCCGTCAGGTTCGAGAGCAGTTTTCACCGCGACACTACTGAAGATAATTCCGGAGTCTGATGATCTGCAAAACTATTTTGGGCTTAAACCTTATGACCATAACCATGAGCAGCGACATGCAGAGACCGTAGTTTAGTAACAAAACTAGCAGTTGGTCGAGTGAATATGTATGGTACATAGCTGAACAATTGCTTAAAGCTCTGGGGTAGACTAACATAGATAGCGCATTGATACGCCAGTCAGGAGCCTGGTTAGCGTTTGTAGGGGTCTGCTAGCCTGTTCACAGTGCGTAGGTGCTATCAATTTGGTTAGAACTCGCTCGTAAAAATTAGCTCCTCATCGCAAATAACGGAGCTCCCTCACGTCGCAGGTCTTGGAAGACCCTCACACCGCAAGTCTTGGAAGACCCTCTCGTCGCAAGTTCTGGCTGCGCCCCTGGATGACCCCGTCATGATGCAATCTCGATGGAGCCAGCTTGGCCTTTTGTTTCATAGTATTTTATCATGTTAAGGAGTCATGGATATCCACGGGTATAACCACGGGGGAGGGTAGGATATGGAAGGGATATTCTTTCAGGTTTCCCAAATGGGATCTCGTCTCTTCGCTCCCTCGTCCTTTCGCTCCTAAGTATACGCTGGTGCAGACGTCTGAGACTTGGGGACATTCAGAATTCGGAATGTCATACTAGGAGCTTTAGGAAGGGGACAACCTGATAAGAAGATGATATTCTGAATGTTAAATTGCAAGTGACGCGCGTTGTATAAACAGGGAAATCCTTTTTTGAGGGGTCAAAATCGCATTTTAGGAAAGTGGGCTTTTTCCAACTTTCCAAACACGTGAGTTATCCGGCAACGTTAGTGACCTCTCTGTCTCTGGTTGCGCTTTAAGGTGGGGGTCGGATAGTCCTGTTCAGTATAGCACTGACGACCGCTTTTTCCCTCGAGCCGGTTGTTCTGAGTCCTCTTCAGCTCAGTTCTCGTGCTCGTTGTCGTCTTTGTCAACGTTGCCTTGCTATCTCTTTCGTCCAGGTCGGTCGAATTTAGATAATCTAACCTCGTGTCCAGACGAAGTGAGCCAGGTTCAGACATTGGTTGCGGCATTTGGGGCACGAGTCACCACGACTCTGGCATGGGCCAGATCAACATTGTCACACCTGTTACCACCCACACCCTGGTCGGGTCGACGGGATCGGTGGCCAGGTCCGACACTGTCGCTTCGTTGGTCAGAGGGTCAGCAGCTTTTTTCCAGGATTCAAACTGACATGACCCAGTCCCGAGTGCAGAATCAGGTTATTAATTTTCAGCCAACGCGTCCATCAACCCCTGCATTTGAGCAAATGAATAGATAGAAAGAACCCCTGAATTTTAGGAAAAATAGATCTGCCGGAAGGCGCGTCTCCAGCAGCTGATGGCTTGACCTTGAGTCCGCACACCGCACACAACACAGGCAGGGTTCGTGGATACGCGCGAGGTCTGAGGCCGGCAGACTGTGCACAACCTCCGGTGCCTCCAAATAGCCATCAGCCTGGCACGTGACCCCCTTGACGTGTTCCGAAGATGTTTCTCCGGCATGTCGTGCACCGCGGTCCAAACTTTCGTTATCCTCTGGGCATCCACTGACTTGTCTTGACAAAAAAGTGTCCCTAGCAGTTCTGGTTTCTGAAAAGCTACCACATTTTAGGAGCACTGCACGGCGATCCGCTGCTGGCGCTGGCAGCGGGCGGCAACCGACGGTTCGGCGGACCGCACGCGACGCACATTCACCGGTACATTCCCAGATCCCTGCAGCATACGTTATGTGTAGAAACACGCCTGTTTAAATGCCCTGTCGTATGAGGCATAATCTCGTGCATCATGACATGTTAAGTTTAAAAGGTTTTCAGGAAAACTTGACCCTTAACGTGGTCTATCAGCAACATGCGAGTTATTGCGCATCGCGAGATGTAGCTGGGGCCCATCCACTGTTTTTTTCCGCGAGGCTCTATCTTGCTTAGTTTGTAAAGGCTGGGGGGGGGGGTCACATCGCCCCCACCCCCCTATCAATCCAAGTTATGAGAGACGGCGAATCAGGGCGGAGGTCAAGCACTCCGCAGCCCGGCGCCAGCGTTTTCCATGTCTGCGTCGGACACGCGGTCTCTCCTGTGCCAGACATGCTGTCTCTACTGTGCCGACCACGCGGTGTCCTCTGTGCCAGACATATTGTCTATTGTGCCGAACACGCGGCAACTCCAGTGCGGAAGGTGTGCCCATTCCTGTGCTGGACGCCTGCTCCTGTGTCAGACACGCGGCCTCTCCCGTGCCGGACACGCAGTTTCTCCTGTGCCGGAAACACGGCCGTCCTAGCATTACACGGCTGTTCCGTTGTCGGACATGTGGTCTTTCATGTGCCGGTGCGCGCCGGTCTAGTGCTGGACATGTGGCCTTCCTGTGTCCCACGGCAGCTCCGTCCTCGGACAAGCGGTCCTTGTGTGCCGGACACTCGGCCGCTCCTGTGCGGACATCCAACAGTCCCAGTGATGGAAACAACGACGCTCCAGTGATCCTCTTGCCGCCGCTGCAGTGAGGTACCGTGACGCACGCTCTGTCTTTTTTACTGTAAATAGTACAGAGCCTTGCAAATCATAAATGCAGGTAATAGATGACCCAAGAATACCCAGGGGCGGTTATTGATCCGCTTAAGATGCTAAAAACTCCTCAGCAATGAAATTTAGTCTTGCAAAATTACAGGATGCTGCAAGGTTGATTTCCTGTCCAGCGATACAACGTAGAGCCCTGGAACCGCTTCCACTATTCGGAGGAGGCCAAGAGCACCCAAACCACGATTTGAAAAAGATGTAGCTTCGCACAAACCGAAGATGGTCATAAGCTCACCCCGCTGCAACGCTACAATAACACATTTGAGATTGCATGTGAAATAACCCATGCTCTTGGACAAGTACTACACTACAAATTACCTCGTCTATGGATCTCCCCTGTATTCGCCAAGGGCGTGCGGTCTGCTGCCAATGCTCCAGTCGACTGCGCTGGTTTGAAGCGGAGTCTTAACAGACCACCTTCTTTTGCTGTGACGCCCCGTTGAACCTGGCGGGGGACGCGTATCTCACATCGGACGCCCCGTGCACACCCACTTCTTGCTAAAATCCTTATTAGCTGCCCCAACGTGACTGATTACCGGCGCGTGGGCTGAATATTGGTGGTCTCGGGCCCCATCTGCCGGGGGCGTAAATATGATATGCTGGACTCCGATATGTTTTAAAAGTGCATGACATGATGGTGCTTTAGTTATTTGAAAGCTGCTTTTTCTTGTTTCACAGCATAATTGGTATAAGTGCTGGGCAAACTTTCATCCTTCGCTTCGATAGGCTCTTGAGATACTTGATGAAACATGTTCACATCGAGATATTGCAGTAAATTGGGTCTCAAGTAGCGCAATATGGCTTTGACCGGTTAGAGTCAACTCGTCAAAGGCAGCGCATATGTAATCGAGGTGTAAAATGATGCGCTCCTGCTGAAAGGTTCTGGTTACGGGACAGGCATTCAAGTCACGTGGTACGTAATTTGCGAGACCTGTTCAGGATTTTACCAAAGTCGGCACCGCGGACTCCGACTTTCTTCAAGGCCCTGCCCTGACAGGTCGAAAAGGCACGGCTGTGGGGCCTCTGGGATTTGGTTCAAATGATCTGTGACAAAAGCCTTCATGTCTAACTTAATACGATATATGGCATACATATATATATATATATATATATATATATATATATTTATATTGAGAGAGAGAGGGAGAGAGAGAGAGAGAGAGAGAGAGAGAGAGAGATATATATATCTATATATATATCTATTATTATATATATATCTATATATATATATATGTATATCTATATCGGCTTTCTATTATAGATCAATTTGTATGGTTAAAAGCTTCGCAAAGCATTCAGTAACCAAAAAGCAGTACCGTAATTTCATCCGATCTGAGTGCCAAACGGTTCGGGACGTGTTTGTTCCGCCTTGACCTTTCATTCAAGCACAGACGAATAACTTAAAGTCTGCCGCAGTAGCTGTCAGCAAAAAAGTCGTCACTAACTTCACATACATAGGTACCCAGTCCTCGGAAATATGTACAAACAAGTCTGCTCAATACGACTATATGCCAGACATAAACCCCCACGTGATATGTACTCGCCATTCATTGCAGTCAAAACTCGTCGCATGAGATCCGATGCAACACAAATAATAATAACCACGAATATGCGCAGCATGATAAATGCATCACACGTGCATCAACAGTGTCCCATTCGTATGTTAAAAGACGTACTATATCCGTTGGGGCAGCGACCCCCTGTTGTCAGACCAGCCGCGATTTCATGACATCTCATAGCTTGTTTGACACCACAAAGCATCGAATTTCTGTGATTTTCCGTCATTTTGGCTGCACGGACACACAGGCCGTAAAAAAACACACCGTCACGATGTTGAAGGCGCACACTTGCAGTGCACACTGTCGGTGACACCTCAAGCCCTTCTGGAAAAGCACGGGCGCGCATTATGTCGCGCGCCAGCTCGTGGTAGCCGCGTCTCACGTCGTACGAGAACACAAAGTTCAGCACGGGGTTGGCCGCGAACACGAACAGCTCAAGGTTGTTGCTGAGTGCGCGCCACACCTGGTAGCAGTTGTAGCCCTCCTTGTAGAGATGCGACGCCTGGCCCCAGACGAACACCACCGACGAGAGCACGCTGGTCAGGATACTCAGCGCCGAGATCGCCGGCAGCATCAGCGTCGTGCGCCGCCGCTGGACGCTGGCGCGCCGGCGCGCCGCCGGCGACGAGCCAGCCGACTCCGGCGCCGCCGAGATCACCGCCAGGGGCCCAGCTCCGTGCTGGCGGGGGCGCAGCAGAGGCACCACGCGCCCCGAGCCGGTGGCGTCGGGTCGGACGACAGCGGCACCAGCGAACGGCGATTACGTTGAGCCAGCAGGCCGCGCGCCACCAGCACGTTGTTGAAGACGATGATGGCGGACGGTAGCAGGCGCACGCTCGCCTGCAGCAGCCACTGGTATGCGAGCCAGCCCTTGGTGGCAGTGAACTCCTCCTCGCGCAGCACGTACGTCCCTAGCGTGCTGTCCAGCTGTACCTCGTACTGGAACACCATCGGCACGTACAGGGCCAGCGCCACCACCAGCGAGCCGGCTATGCGCACGAACGCCAGGTCTGCCGTCTCTGTGGCGTGGTAAGCCGCCGGGCGCATCATCGCCTCGCGCCGGTTGGCCGACAGCCAGAGCGTGATGAACACGCTCGCCGACACGAACATGTTCGTCAGTGGCTTGTTAAGGTGCGCTGCGTAGAAGGCGAGCGACAGCGACGCGCCACAACGGTCGAAGCGCGTCTCCTGTGTCAGCAGGTACACGAACAGCGTGGAGAAGAGGAGCCCCAGCAGGTCGGACACCGACAGCCAGTGCAGGTACGTGTAGACGGTGAGCGCGCGCAGCGGCGGCCGGCGCAGCACGGTCAGGTTGGCGATGTTCGCCGCCAGACCGAGCGCGCAGATGGCGGGCGCGCACCAGACGTACGCCGCCTGCGTCAACCGCGCCATCCGCTCGTCGGGCTCGTCACACGAGCTCGTCGGAGGCCCGGCCATCGCACGGTGCGGGTTCGGGATCAGGAGGTCCCCCTGAGTCGGTTCGGCTCGGGCCCAGGAGGCCCGACTGTGGTAGGCGGTTCGGCGGATTGCGCTCCGTTTGCGTCTTGTACGGGTCTCCACTGCACCTTGTGCCGCTGCTCTCGGTCGCGCTCCTTTCACGCAACGCTCACACGGACCACGCCCTGTCAGTACCTGCTGCTGTTCACGCTTCTCTCCTGCTCAGGCACCCTGTCTCCTCCCAGCGCGCCTCTGTCTCCTCAAGGCGCGTTCCCTCCTCCGCGTGGTGAGACGCGCCCCCGGCTCCTCCGCCAACCGCGGAGAGCAAAGCCACCAGCGGCCGCGCGGCGCGGAGACCTGCCCTAACCTGCGGCCGGACCGGCCCGCTCTTGGCGACTGACACGCACAGCCAGGTGTGTCCGACGCTCGCTTATTGTGTTGGTCGGTCGGCGTGTCAACAGATCGCCGGCCTCAATTAGGCAGGTGAGCCTCGGCGCGCGCGGGGCGGCGCCGGCAGGTGGGCTGCCCCAGCCCGGCCCGGATTGGACGCCGTCACGCGGGAGGGAGTGATCACCGCCGTGGGCAGAGGATGGGCAGAGGGCAGAGGGTCCCCTATCCTGGTCCCCGTGGAGCATCAGGAAAATTGCGTCGCGTTCGAGTGGGTACTGTCACCGGATGGCCTTATTGGCGTCCCCGTGTGCTAACATCCACAGCCGGTCTGTTAATTTGCCGCTTGTCTGGTGAACACGCTGTTGACTAAAGAGCTAAAAGCTGTACATTGCATTGCTAATTAAACTGAGGGGACTCTGCAGGAAGCTTGTCATGCATTCGTGGCCAACATGTTGTAATGGGCCTAGTGGCTGAGAAGTTAGCACCTTCGGCTCTCCAGTGGGAGGCCCGAGTTTGGATCGCGGTGGAGCCATTGCCCCAAACCCCACAAAGTTAATTATCTATGCTTTCGCTGGCGCTCCATAAATGGGTATCCGATGACACGTGTCGCCTTCCTTTTTACAATAAAGTTAGCTGACCGTAAATATCCCAGTACAGTAAATGGCCAGAGATCACGACTTTGTTGTCGCTTTCGTCCGTCATTGAAGAGACACCCACCGCCTGACGCTATATGGTGTCGATTGCCTCTAGCTTTGGCAGAAAGAGCGGGCGACGCGGGGACATAGCGCCCAGGTGTTCGGGTTTTCGTGCGACTGTCTGGCGTTAGCAAATGGGAGGAAAAATTGGCTTAAACGCATATTTTGCAGAAAGCTATTTTAAACTGATCCACACCCAGTATCATAATTTCGCCAGGCGTTTAAATTCATGCGGCACCTGGAGGTAGACTGGCGTTCTGCCAGGGAGTTTTAACATGACAAGGCAGTGCAGAGGATGCTTATCGGCGTTTACTGGTTTGTGATTCAGGAATCATGAAACGGGCTTGAGAAGCTTGTGAAGTTCGGGTTTGAAGACTGGTGCCACGAGTATGAATCTCGATTTATGAAGATTCCAATATTTCTGTTTCATTTTTTCTTCCCTCAAATTTCAATTCACTTTATTATCAGTAACCATATATTCAATATTGATCATGTCTTCATCTCTTTGTTGCCATTCCGGAATTTCTGTAATACAACTTAGGCGGTATTTGGGGATCATTATCAGGCATATTAAATTCTAAATTCTTTGGGGGAGGGGGCATGCCCCACAATGTTGAGCTGGGCGCCCCTGTTGGGCTGAACTCCCCCCCCCCAATATTTGGCTGGGCCACCGCTATATTTTCTCGGCCTTCAAAATGTGCAACCTCTTTTCTGAAACCATATCACCTCTTGGAAGTAAAGATAATTTGATATTTCTTACGAATTCGCAAGTTGGCATTAAAGAAATGTACTTATATAAAACGATGCCCAATAACTCACGTAAAATGAAGCCCACAAAAAGTTGCATGTTGTAAGCCTCACCTCACAGTGAATGCTTGTACGCAATTCGGCCCTATGACGCCTACCTCACAGTGAATGTTTGTACGTCATTGGGCCTTATAACGCCTACCTCACAGTGAATGTTTGTACGCCATTTAGCCTCATGACGCTTACCTCACAGTAAATGTTTGTATGCCATTGGGCCTTATTACGCCTCTGAGATGTATCCATGGCCTCATCTCTGGACTGTATTGCAACGCCTGCCTCTTATCTCGGCAGAAACGGTGGGTATCGCGGGAGGTCAAACTGTGAATGGCTAAACGTAAAAAAATAACCTGTACACCCTGCCTTGCTCGCAATAGCACCCGACTGACACGACATGCCATCACACAAGGATTAGAATGTTGGTGGTGGTAGCAGAAAGCGGCGAAGCTATTAAAATCTGTAGACCTTTAACGCACTATTCTTTCTTGAAGTAAAACATACGGCCAGCTCCCCAGAATATGAGTAACACATTTTGAGCCGTTACCATGGAAACATTCCAAACTTGCACTGCTTGTTTTGAGTGTCTTAAAGGAGCACACAAATGTCTTATCTTCTAATTGAGGAATGTGGCAAGAACGATGCATAAATAATATTAGTTCTGGATATTCAAAGGATATCAGGTGTACTGCGCCTCCGGCACGTAAAATCGCCTTGCATTGGAACTATCACATCGTTATAGTATAAGATAGCAGAAAGTTACAACGAAATGTATCTTAAAATGCACAGTGTACACCATATGGACGTATTTCGTGCACAATTGCCGACGTATTTTCATATTGTTTTAGCATGTACCACACCACACCACAGCCTCCTGGCGCGATGGTCTAACCTCGGTTGCTCGTGATGTTGTAACTGCTAATTCCAATCTGAGATTCTACCTCGAAATGGCGTTGATGAGTTGTCTTGGTCAAGAAATGAAGAGCGCTTTCGTCCCAGCCCGGGGTACCTAGTAACTGCTATTCTGGCGTCGATATGGGGACCGGAGGGCCCTGGTCGATCCGGAGGCCTTCAGAGGGATACACCGTGCACCGGCTCCATCCCTGATGCGGCAGGCCCTCTGGTCTGGGCATCTGACACAGGATCGACGCAGGGACACGTGACTGACGCAGAAGGATCCCTTACCGGCACAGAGAGTCCCATGCATTATTCGCGCCGAGGTACCAATTTGGCTTATCGACCCCTGCCTCTGGTTGAAACGGAGCTCAGGGCCCCTCATTGGGTTCTGCAACCTCTGACTGGCACAAGCCACAGCTTCGTTGTGAGTGTAGATCATTGTATCATCATTTTTCATGTCTCCTGTCATTAGCAAAAGGGTATTGACCAACGCAAGAAGCCTTTTGACATTCTAGGTCTCGCTTCTATCCCTGTCCAGCACATGTATCCATGACCGACTTTGGGCTATTTCCGACGCGGTTCGCCTTTTTCGGCGCTGTGAGCCCCTGATCGGCACAGGGGCCGGACCATTGCACAATCTTTTGGATAAACATTTGCGTTCCCGGCCCTGCCCCGAGTTTGGAAAGAGGCCGCAGGGCCAAGACCGGCGCGAGACGGAGTATGACCCACTGGCTGAGGTCCCCACATTCCCTGGCCCGCCCTACGGATCCTTCGATTGGATCCTTGTTCGTTGTTCCCTCGGGCCCAAAGGGCTGCTCGGGGCCTCATGACTTAAAGACCTAAGGCAGGCCAAGTGTCTCTGTTCCACCGTAGTGATGCCCTTGGTTCATCGTAAAAATGAAAAGGGGTCAATATTTGTGCGCTCTAGAGTTTGCCATCACATAAAATTTTAGGGCTTGGAGGCCCTCGTCGTGCCCCCTAGAACTGAGTGCCTCTTCAAAATACATGTCGTGATGCCCGAAATGAAGGCATCAGGCATCTCTTCGACGAGAGGCTAAGGACTAAGGACGAGGACTAAGGATTTCGTCAAGGTAAAGGCACAGAAATTGTGCAGCCCCTGATTTTAATGCCCTTTCAAGATGAAGATGTCGGAGTCCTTGAAATGACCGTTTGGATTTGGTGCCTGCTAAAAATAAATGTTATGATGCCCCCAAAATAAAATTGTTGGTGCCTGGTCGCCAAATGGGCTGATCCGTAATTTCGTCAATGGAGCGCCGCAGTTACTGCAATTTTCCCCGAAATTTGTTGTCTATTACAAATAATTTTTTTGGAACAATTTGAGGTGCCCCCTGAAAATGGGTGTCTCTTGAAACTGAAGGTAATGGCTCCTCAAAATGAGAAATGTTGGTGCCACTTTGCCCAACGTCGAAGAACGGACCGATCAGGAATCTTGTCGCGGTGAAACGCACGAAGCACCCCGAAAATAGAGATCATAGTGCGTTCAAATAAATGTTTTGGTGCACCTTGCCTAGGGAACTGTTCCAGGATTTAATTTCGGATGAAAAGCACAACATTGTTGTGTCTCTTGAGAATGAATGTCTGCGGCCCTTCGCGGTACCCTCTGGAGTTGGCGCCTGTTGAAAATAAAGACTATGGTGCTGGAAAGGATGTTTTAGTGTTCCTTGCCAAAGGGCCGATCGAAGATTTTGCCAAACGAAACAAGGCACATACAAAGAAGTGCTCCTAGTGCTTGATGCCCCCAGAAAGTGAAAATTCGGGACTCTTCCGGTGTCCCTGGAATTTTGTGCCTCTTAGAAATAAGGTCTATATGGTTGAAAACCAAGGTTTGTTGTGGCCCAGGGGGGTGGCTCATGAGTGGCCCAGTGCGTGGTTGGCATCGCCCCATGTCTTCTCCATCCACCCTCAGGATACACCCCTGTCCGCATTGTTAGATTTCAAGCAGGATGAGAGTCCACGTGTGCCGCCTTGTATTCTTTTCCGAGGGCCCTGCCCCCTCCCCCCCCCCCCAAAATGTTGAGTTGGGCCTCCTCCTATTGTTGGCTTGGCCCCCCAATGTTTTTTTTTTGCTGGAGTGCCACAAGAACGCAGGCAAAAATGGCCATAGCATGATGACCTTCTTTTTGGATCTTACTGCGTAGCGGTGTCTCGTATTACTCTTGTAACAAAGAGTATGGCTGCTCTCACCACCAGTTACAA